TGATAAGTTAAAAGAATCCTTACTTTCATTCCATCTAGCCATCTCTCTGATGGTCCAGCTGGCATATAACCTAATCCACCTGCACTGTCCGGAACTCGATAGAGGTCTGAGTCTTCTTCATCGGGTAAACGTCCGCGATCTGATAACTGTAAATAATTTATTTCATGAACGGAACACTTCTCAACATTACCTCATAGTCCTCATACTCGTCCAACTGCTGAGGTTTACCGATTTTTCTAGATTTTAAAGCCGCTTCCGGCACGTTATTAACCTAAAAAGCGTGGGCATGAAAATGTATACCAGGGAGAGCTCACTCTAAGTATGCTAGTTGTGTTAACTGAAGCAGCAGCATTAGTTGCTATACATTGATAATATCCCGAATCAAGAACATCCAGCTCTGTTATTACAAGTCGGGATGAGTTTTCTCGCTGACGTATCTTGACTTTTCGGGATTTCTCTACTGGTACATGGTTTTTTAACCAACTGGAACAGATCTTATAGCTATATAACTTGATTTCAAGCTCACCTGAATTGAATAGGTTGTGTTCCGATCGCTTCACATCGTAAGCGAACTTCTCCTCCGGCGTCACGGGTCGCATTCTTCAATTGCGACGTTAAACGTATGTAAGGACGTGGTCCTGAGGATGAGGCGCCGTCCATCCTGAAAAGAACAACTTTTAGTTCCATTGATTTGAGGGTATGGAGTATATTAATACATTAGTATGAAGTTCAAGCATAAGACTGACAAATGAAGCAATCCGATCAATTTCTCTTACAATTTCCCTAATATACTGAGATGGACGCATAGTATGAAGTACTAAGAGAGAGAAGGAGAGAGAGAAGAGATATAATAAAATATATGTTTCAGAGCAAAACGGAGAAACAGATCAAGAGGAAGAAGAAAGAAAGTAACTCAGTTGACGGAATTGCTTGCCGAGGTACCCGGCCTTAATGGTCATTAGCCAGTGGAGCTACATAACTATGCAATTCCCTATAGAGTTGAAACTAACAAGGAAACTATATGGTTGAATATCAGAAAGCATTACTCTTGTGAATACAAACAGAAAATAATTTTGTATTCTGGACTGTTTCATATAGTGTTGGCGCCATTTCTATTTCTTCCCATATAAGGGCAGATTTCACACCTCAGCTGACCAGCATATAGGTGAGAATAGCCAGTAGCAACACAATGGGACTGGTAAAGAAAAACAAAGAAAATTGAAAATTAAAAATTCTGAAGGTCAATTGGCAAATTTGTGTATGTTAGAGACAACAAGTGTCAAGACTTTATAAAAGAAAAGAGGAATGATGTAAGAGAGATAAGGAGAGAATGAAAAGACAACATGAAGAGTCAAGATTATCAATTTTGAAGATGTCACAAACATCAATTGGCTGAAATGGTGGCCATTTATGGACTAGACGAAGATGAAATAGTTTTGAGCTTGTCTTCAAGCCAGAGCACTTCATGTGCTCCTAAACGTTATATGAAAGGAAATGAGATGTTTTATAACTTTGCTCGTCTACACGAAAAACCATAATCAATAGAATATAGTATATTCAGTTAGGTATATGAGAAGAACTGCTGATTGAAAGTTCAAACTACAAACCATCATAACATATAGTTAACATAAATAACTCATTCAACTTTCTATGATTAAAAAAATGAACAAATAGTGGGATTAGACTGTTTGTTAGACGGAAGTTGAGCTCATCTGCTCATCTATCGAAAATGGCATAGATGTCAAGTGAACAGATTCTCCTACAGTTCCATGAATTACAACTGCCGGATTAGGTTAAGGGATAATCTCAAGAAATGATGTCGATCTGCATTTGGGTAATGCTAACGATGAGCACCCAATCACCTGCTGTTATAAACGGAACAAGAGAGCAATTGCAAGACAATAATGAGATAAAAAATGGTAGGGGGTAGACTCTGGGGAGAAGGCATAATGAGGTTAAATGGATAATTAACCAGAGGTTATGAAGGGTTCGCCCTAAGCAGAAGTCACCAGTGGATATTCAGATGCTACAAATGTTGTGAAAATGATTATGATGACGAAATATCACTATTGGCTATATTGGGATGAAGTGAGAAGAAGAGACATAAAGACATCTCGAGTACGATAAGAATATAGCATATTGCCAAAAAAAATCAAAATTATATTAAGTAAAAGTAGAGAGTGTAATAGAGAAGGAGAGTAAGACAGAGAGAAGAGTGGAGCAGGGATTCAATGGCAATTATATAGAACAGGAGGTTAGAAGATATCCAAAACTACTTGACCCCAAGCGATACAAAAAAGGCAACATAAGACTAGAAAAGCACAGTTAGTCATCCAAAGAGGACATGATGACACCCTCCGGTTGACAGATGTTCATATAATTCGCAAATATGAGCACATAGATGAGAGCATTCATGTTGAAATGTAAGAGGAGAATTTGAATAAATTGGAAGAGTTACCAAAAGGATTTGTAGAATTAAGGAAAAGCAATGAAACAGGCTATAAGCATTGAGCTTTTTCGATTTTAATGAAAGTGTTTGCGTGTATGTAGTAGTAGTAGTAGTAGTAGAGAGAGAGAGAGAACGAGAGAAGGGAAGTAGAGAATAGATTAATGAGAATGAATCTGTCTTCACAGAAAATGCTGAAAAAAAAGTTTTTTTTTCAAAATTTGCTCGAAATAATACTAATGAGCCAATAAATAATAACTAACAGTTGATAAGTGTAGAATGGGAAAAGCATTGAATGAATTGAGAGAGTTAATAAATCGTGGGTGAAGATGGACAACTGACAGGTGTGCATATACCCGCAGGGATATTTGATGTGATTTGGCTTTATAGATATGGATTATAATAGTAAGTTGGTAAGAGAGTTATAGAGATATATAGATCAAGTGAAACACAAAGTTTCTGATTTATCAGTCTGACACACAGACAGACATCTCTCCTTCTCTTCATCCTCTCATTATCTATTATAGATAGAGATTTGGAGAGAATACTGAGTGAAAGAGAGATAGAGAAGTAAGATGGATTAGACAGTGATGAAATGATTTAGATACAACACAATCTAAGGTGAAGCTGGTAACAAAATAATTAAGTATTTGTCACTTTGCCAAAACTTAATTAAGTTCAACCGAATCGTACAACTGAATGGGCAAAAATGAATTATAACAATCCCGTGGAATCCACGTGAGAATCATCATGCTAGTAACGTGGAAAATAGCATTGAAAGGTAAGTTAGAAAGCGTTGGCGATCACGTTTGTTATTCTGAATTACAAAAAAAATTCGATAGAGAATTACAAACATTGGACTTTCTCGGCTTTCTGTGCCTTCATCTAGCTAACATCTTCATTTTCGATCATTTAACAGAGAAATCATCATCGTCAGATAAATTCTTTGATAGTCAACAGGATTCAACACTAAATAGAGAGGTACAAGACAGTTCATCAAATGTCGAGTGTTGATGTAGCAGGTAAAGAACATATGATTATGGATAGAATGAGACACACCGGGGAAAATAAACAGGCGAAAGAGAGGACAGATTTGAAAGGTAACAACGCGAATCTGTAGCTTCTACGTTTCCCAAATACCAAAACATCTCACAATACATCTCTATTTCTCTCTAAGTCAATAAACTTTGAGATTAATAATCACACAAAAATGCCTTCGCTTCTTTTTCTGCTCCCTCCTCTCTCACTTTCTTGTTCTTTGTCTTAGTCGGCAAGAAGTTGAGAGCACGAAAGAATATCCCGACCCTTAATTATTGGTTTGGAAAAAAACTACAAAAGACGGATGTAGTCATTAAGTCAAGCACGAGTAACACATGTGAATAGCCTTAACTAGTACAAAAGACACAATATGTTCGTATGCTTGAGCCGATCGACATACATCCGTAAAAGGAGCACATAAGGCAGCTTTAAAGATGTTCCTAAAACTATTGCTAATTAGCACCTTAGCCCAGCATTGAACATTTCTATGAAGAAGCTCTTTTGAGAAGCGCTTCAGATTTGTGACAGCAATAAATAATCTGAATGGGCTGGATGATTAGCAATACTTCACTTAGACATATTCTTTGACAACAGTGGCCTGCGGGCATTTGCCTACAATTCAATGAGGGCGGGCTGGTTGGACATCCGAACGATGACCATAGATGGAATCGATAGCATCTGGCCATTTTTCGCCTTCATCGTCTCAACGATTCATAGTCAGTCAGTCAGTTCGTCAGTCACTCCATACGTACGTCAATTTCATTCTAAAACACGTCAAAACTCGCGGGAAAGGCACAGATGAGAAAGACCAGCAGCTTTTGATGCGTTCAAGTCATCCTCTAGCAATGTATGGAGCTGAGTGAAAGGTTTTCGATCTTTCATTTTCTCTGAGTCAATGTGCCAAAAGAGTTTTAATACATGGACAGCAATGTGACAGAACTGACCAGTTGTCTCATCAAAATCCCTTCAGCCTTGCTTCTATGGGCTTAATGAATATGCTCATTCAGGAAATCGAAATCATATATGGAATAAAGCGGAATATTACTGAAGGTGAACATGACAGCTAAATGACACTGCTCAATCAGTCTCATTTAGCATATATGGTGGTAAATGAGTAAATGAGTAAATCACGTGTAGGTTGATTAGCTCTGGGAGTCAAATAGTCTCAGGCGAAACCTCAAGCATGACAGCTAGATGACAGACAGACTAATAAGGTCATACTTAATCAATCTTCAATCTTCAATCAAATAAGTAAAAGAATATTAAAATGGCAAAAGAAAATTCTTTTTTCATTCAACTCAGGGGTAAAGTGGTTGTATTCCATTGGCAGGATATCGATCTTAATAGGAACTCCTAATGAGAAGATGATAGTCGTAAAGATGTAAAGAACAAATGACTACGTGTTTACAACATATTTACCACGTGAAAATGCAATTAACAAAAAACAAATTCTATTCTATATCCAATCAAATGGCTTTCATCAGAAGACGAACGAATTTAGGAAATCTTGATTGAAATGGATTTCAGAATGCAAAACACCATGAGCACAAATGACTAGTTCATTAAAACATTTCGAAATATATGTTTCGAAAGAAACTCTCCAGACTCCTTATGCTTAAATCCAAAAACAAAAAGTAACCTTGCTTGGTAAAGCAGACTCAAACTACAGACAATTTTTGGTGAGAGTGAGAGGAATGAAATGAAAAACAACAAAGCTTTCAAGATTATTATGAGACAGATTAGTAAGCTAAGTGATGTTCTTATAATAGACAGATACATACAAAAATTTTGACATAAATGGCATTTAGATGATGAATTTGTGCCGGAAATGTGGCAAGGGACCACCCGAAGAAGTCCATATAATATTTGGCGACTAACTGGTCGTAAAGTAATAAGGCGCGACGCGATCTTAGATTAGATATCTTAACAGACGATGTAATAACTACGAGAGTGCAGACAATGAAAGAGATGAGATTTTGACAAGAGGAGGTCAACCTCTCTCGAACTGTCGTTCATTTTTTTCTCTTCTATCTTACTTTCTCATATATAAATAAGAACAGAAACACAAGATGATGAGGTTTTGGATCAAATCCAACCTTTATGACGTCATGAGGTCGAGACTAATTGCGGCATAACACTACTTGTAACGAAAAGTTATAAAAGAAATAGTTAATATAAATGATTTTTAATGGAATATGATATGAGTGAGTGAAAGAAAGTTCCTAATTGAAAGATCAATCTATAAACTATAAACTGCGAATACTATAAATAAGGTTTTGAAGAGAAAAGAAAGGAAAGAAAGCTTTCTGTTGGATAACAGCAACAGACTGTACTTTGAAATACAATAATGGTGAGCACGCCTCACCCCCCTCTTTCTCTACAATGCCACTCATCAGCCGTATATGGTCATTGAATATTTGGTATATTATGCTAACCTTTCAAATGTGTAAATGATGATTATAACATTAACAAGTTATTACTATAAATGAAGCAAAGAGTGATGTTGAGATGTGAAAGAAAGGTAGAAGCACAACCGCTCACAACGCATTTGCAATTGAAAATGAATTTGATTTGCATTTCATATATTCAACATGAAATTGTAATTAACTAAGTAAACAGTTCATAGGTATATTTAAATGATTATTAACTGAATATTTCATAATTATTCTTATACTCTTCTATTGTGCTTGTTTTGTAACTGAATACTGCAGTAACATGTGGATAGCATACGGTTTAATCAGAAATTGGGAGGTCAACGTTGTCCAAGAATATGCAAATTAAGGATAATAATGGGTAATGTCGTCTTTTCATTTTCATCTATAGACATACAGTTTGGATCTTATCTATCTCTGGGTTGTCTGTAAGACGATCTTCACTCAATCTTATAGAATCTCCTACTTTGAGGGAAATGATGAATCAAAAAACGGATAAAGAGAAAAATCTAAGTATAGGATTGTATGAGTACCATGGAATGCCAGGGTCATTCGAAAAAAACATTTGTTTATGAATGAGATATTATTTTCAGCCTAATCAACAGTACTTTCTATTTTGGAAAAAAAATAAATGATTGTCACTCGCTTGTCAAGTAAGTTGAAAACTCCTTCAGAAGGTTGGAATTACGTCAAATTCTCGGAAGATGACCTTCTAAGTTTTGACAGAATTCAACAGAGGAAAAGCGAGTTTCTCAGAAAGTTTCTGCTAACCGAAAAGTCAATTGGAAAAGTGAACGAATAGAATTCCGATTGATCAATGATATATGCAAGAAACTCACGTAGAATTGTAATCTCCATAGACTACATCCTCATCACTAGCTGGTTCGATGAACAGATCATCATCTGGAGCTGGAGCCATGCTAGTGTTGATCGAACGTTAAAGATGTTTCTCTCTACCTTCGATCATAAAAATAGCAGAAGCGGCTCTCAAAATCTGAAATCAAAAGAACATGAATAGAGAAACGTCAAGTTCAAAAGTTTTCAATTCAGTTTTGCGAGGAAAAAAAGATGTCTACAAATCAGATTATGCTCGTCAAACATTTTCCATATCAGGACAGCAGTTGTGTGGAGCATAATCTAACGAAGGCTATTGAGGAGAAAAAAAAAGAAGCAAAAGTACCCAACAAATTCAATTAATAATCCACATAGATACATACATATCTTTAACGACTAAATCCAAGAATTTTTGAAGTTTTGACGACGATCGCAATGTTAATGACAGGATTTCATGGCATTTTTGGATGAGAAAACAATGAAAAGTTGAAAGACGGAAAGAAATTAAAAAGAATACACAAAACAAATGAAATATTGATTAGTATTATTTAGGAAAGTTTCTTTTTTTTCTTCTCATCTCATCATTATTTCAGATAATGGTAGTGGCTGAGTATAACTTTTGAGAGGAAAATTCTCTTGCAAGACATCCCTTGTTAGGATTGACGACATGTCGTCGACTTCTTCACACGTAATTAAATGTCAAACACATCAGAGTAATTTTTCGCAAAGCATACTTCCTCACCAATGCTTTCCCTTCATACTGCGAAGACTTTTGTTGAGAAATAAATAAAGATAAGATGAGAAGGAGAGTACAATTCTTCTTTCTGGATGACTATAAAAGCATCTGATGACGTCATCTGCCAGCTGTTTTTATATTTATAAGAGAATATTTAACACGTAATATAATTAGTATTTTTGAAATCTCAAGTAAGCTATACAAAGGAGACCAATTGTAGGATAGGAATGGAACAGCAAAATATTGAAAATCCTAATGGAAGACACGAACTTATAAAACAAATTAGCTATTGAAAAAGTCGAGAAAGTAGACAAAAGATTAAGAAAGACATTAAAATCATATTAGAGAAAGCTGATTATGCTCTGTCCTCTCCAAACAAGGCAGCTGGCCGTCATCAGCAATAGCGAAAGCTTTTTGAACTAATAAGGTTATTACAAATATATTTCAGAAGCTCTGTTCTCTTTTTTCTTTTCTTCCTCCTCTCAAGACATGAGTCTGAGACTAGAAGATTCAGAAATAACGAACTTTAGGAGCAAACGCGAACTAACTATTACATATAAACATATGAATATGAAAATGGAATAATCAATAAATGACCGGATACGGGAAACTACGGAGTTGACCAATCGTCGGAATTATCGGATTATGGGAAAAGAAAGGCAGAGAACAAAGTATAGATTTAGGTGAGTTGGTAAAAGGTAATTAGCAGCCTATGTGCTTAATCTTCATCGGCTTGTTGTCCTTAAAAAGACATTTTTTCAGTACATGCTGCTTCCTTTCATTGAAATCTTTCTAATTGGCCAATCGGCAAAGAGAGGCAATTGAGCATTTTCTATATTCTACTCTTCTAAAGGGTTTTCAGATGCTCTACAATGACCGCAAAGGGCAAGCGGCAGTATGTTCATGTTTTGTTGCTTTGTTTGAAGCTGAAGACAACAAACTACTACAATTTCCACGTGCAGCAACACGCAACAAATTATTTCCCGGGCGGTAACCTTCACATGTTCATACGAGCATTGCTGACAGGCTGAAGGACGGTTGAATGAGGATTAGAGGAATAATATAGAAGCGAAATTTTCTGGTAATTTTATTAAAATTGAAAGACAAAAGTTGTTGAGGGTGAAGAAGCGTGACTAACGGAGTTGTTATGGCTAACTGAATGATTTGAGCTTTCATGGAATAACGTAAGTATGATTACACTTGTAAGAGTAAGAACATAGAATGATGTAGCAAGTATAAGGAAGAATGAAAAGAACAGGAAGCGGTCACATGCTTTACAAGTACCGACTGAACCTTTCATTGTCTTCTCTGCAAGCTTCAAAATCGGACGGAAGTTCAACTGACCGCACAACTTGATTGTCGGCGTAGTCTTACGTCTCAACTTCCTCCAAAGATGGCCTCACACTGAGCCCACGGAATACGTAAATAAACAAAACTCTTATTGAATATAAAAAAAAGAACAAAAATTGAATGAAGATTAAAGATATATTCGGTAGAAAATGGAAAGAGAGAAAGGAGCGAGTGCATGCAGCACATATGGGCTTTCAGATGAGAGAGCTATGAGCTATAGACATGGGCGCTAAAATTCGTCTTTATTTGGGGAGACTACCGCAATTAAGCTTTGTCCTCTTATCCAGAAATATATAGAGTAAGAGCCAGTAATGAGAAAAATAGAGAGGGTATGAGAGAAACCCTTAGGCTACGATCTGAATCAGTGTATCTCAAGTACTTGGACACTTGAAAGAGTATTGTTAATAGGTGCTGATTCGATCACTTGTGACAATACGAATTTCATCCAAAAATAAGTAAGTTTTAGGGAATTGTTGATGAAGAGGAAGAGCACAGGTGACTGGATTGACATGTCCGATGTCAGCCGCCAAACTCGTCATGTTTGCTGGGAAGAAGAATAAAATGAGAAGGAGAACGCGGAGTAAACTATGAGAATAGCAATGTGGAACAGAAATTTTGAAAAAAAATGAAGCGATGTATAATTTATAAATTAAATGAGAGAAAATGAGGATAAGAGAGGAGTAGAGAGGTGAAAGGAAGGAAACTCTGGTTATATTGGGTAGACATTCATTCCAAAAAAACAATGAATTCCCAATGAACAGTCGAATATAGCAAAGGTTCAACTCGCAAACGCGTAAATAAGAGAATTTTCAATTTTCATTTCAAAAAAACCGATTTCTATCTGAATTTCCAACTGCAGAAACCAGAGAACTCCAAGAAGATGAATTTTGGATACAACGCTGATTAGCATTCGCGATGACAACCCGTGTTGAAGTGGATATTACAGAAACAGGCGGTTCATTTTCTTACACGTGAACTCCGATTCCGAAACACCGGCCAAGTAGAAGAGGATTATCTTTTTAAAAGACTTTTCAAACGAAAAGAACTTATATGGTTGAAGATTAAGTACTGTACATCAACGCATTTTCAAATCCAAATTCAAAGTGGAATACATAGGAGAAAGAAGAGAAGGAGAAAGAATGCAAAGATTGGAGAGTGGAAATACCTCCAGAGGAAAAAAGGTATGTAAAAGTATGGACTGGCTAGTTGTCCTGTCACTTCGTATCATTCCTAAACAATCAACATTTCGTCTAGCATGGAAAGGATTGCTGGTCGCATGCCTGGCGTAAAAGACAAATTCACTATAGTTCATACCCGGAACAGTTAAAAAACGTAACTTCAGCTTTTCAATAGAAGTCAAACGTCCCAGTATGGCGGTTACACCATGTTTCAATTAAGAAGCAAAATCGTATGGCTAAGAGAGAGAGACAAGATATAAACGAAACTTTGCTTGGAATCAGGGAATGTTCAAAGACCACAGACAGTAAGTTAAAGAAGAACGAAAAGAAGAAAAACAAGCTGAAAGGAAGATTCAAAAGCAATGACTCGAATGATGCGAGCATCCTTAAACTGAAAGACGGGAGTTAGATCGGATTTCCGAGAAAGAAACTCAATACCATAGTCTGCGGTTGAAATGGAGAGATAATATAAGAAGGCGAGAGAAAAGATAATGTTGGATAGTGAGAGTTTAACCTGAAGAGCCGATATCCGGGCATCGTAGAAGTTACAATATCAGAACGAATTACGATGATGATGATGACATTACAAACTGATAACGAAGACTGGACATCGATGGAAGAAACCATTCGGCTGGATACCTCTTCTCTCTCATCCTATTTCTCGTTCGCTTCTGATTCACAGCGGAGAGATAAAGGTAGACTAGAAGGTATTACATGTCAAGCAAAGAATGGAAAAGGCAAAGCTCAAATTAGAATTTCCAATCAACACTCATCGATTTATGACCTTCTTATTCAACGTTTTAACAAAGAGAAAATTGAATAAAAAAGTTCAAAAATAACATGGGAATATCTGATATTCAATGTCATTATTCTCAGAGGAGGACTAGACATAAGAAGATTTGAATGTTTTATAAGAATGATTGACAACATACTTCATTGCTATATATTACTACTTCTTGACTTGATATTAAACTTCATCAATACTAAATCAAGCCATGGATATTTCACAAAAGAAAGATAATTTCATAATTGAAGCTTGTTGTCAGTTTGAAAAAAAGCAAAAAGCAGCAACACATCAAATCAAATAAAGCACAATGTAAATTCGGTATTTGAGAATTATTTGACTGTGGAGCAGCTGGTATCAAATGCGTTACATGACAAACATTAAGAAAAGAAAAAAATAAATTGAAGCGAAAATTGATTGCGAAAAAAGTTAAGTTAGTACAAGTAACACAACCGTCCACTATCTGAGCAATGAGACAAATGTAAACTTCACTTTACTAGTCACGTACTACTCATGGGGTTATGCTAATTAGAGAATGCATTATTACATGATATGAGCCTCTCTGGAAGTTGAATCGGTAACTATGTGAAATAACAAGAAAAGAGTTTTGAGGAAATAGCTGAAGTCATTGGTTGAGTTGACGATTTGCCAGATACTCCAATCTCTATTTCAAGTCAAACATATAGTTTGACAGAAACTCTTGAAAAGCTCTTTAGAATATACAGAAGTTGAGAAAAGAATTGATAGTCAAGTTCCATATAGTTAGTTCGTTAGTTGTGTTGAGAAGAAGTGGTATGGGATGATTGTTAGCGCGATTTTCTGTTTATTCAGATGGCTGAGTCTATGTCTTCGTCTCGTACGATTACAAGGTAGTTAGTTGATACATAAACATCTTTAACTAAAGGAATTCCATCTTCTCAAAGCACAACCCACCACATCGCCTTATATGTGTACAAACTACTGCTTACAATGGATAGACTAAACAAGAAAGCTTTAGCCTGTCTAGCGTGACCTCCCTATAAACTATACATAGTGCGAATGAAGATGAAATATGAAAGAAAATGATGGATGAGTTTAATTAAGTTTTATTCTCGAGTTAGGACCATATTAGGAAAACAAACAGAGTAGAGAAAGCTGGACTACTCGTTTGAATGAAACTATTCGAAGCAGAAAGCGTACTCGATCGGAGTGAATATGTTCACACTTTGGTCAACCAGACTTCGTATAGCTTGAATATACAATGCCCACTAGAAGTACCTAAAGAGACAAGAGACATACTGCCATTTATGGCAGTCCGGCTTGTTATAGTTTAATAACGGTGAACAAAGGATGAATTCAGAAGAGAACAAGCATACTCTCTATACAGCATCATTATGGAATTTTAAAAAAGCACGGGAATTGTGTCGAACAAGATAGAGAGCTCTGAACGGAACGAGTTCATTAGGTATGAGGCGAATGAAAACTAAATTAAAGATGAGTTTCTCCAAAAATGGAATAACACGAGATATATAAGTGGATGCAAACATATATGATACACATATGGACATCATTATTAACATGAGGACTTCTCTATTGCCTAATTTGGGAAGAATAGAATAAAGAGCGAGGACAGGTTGTGACCAGAGAGGTGCACAAAAGCCCAAAAAACAACATGATGACCTCTTCGTTTTGTTCTCTGACGCAATATCTGGCGCTTTTAGGTACATAACAATTAAAAATAAACATAATAAGTCTAAGCCTGCTCTACTCTTTACTCATACACCCTTTTCCTTGATGATATTAGAATAACTTATTACTATCGCTGACATTCAGTATCATCCCAGTTATCTGTATGGATCGTCCGTACAATTCCTTTCGCATCTTCAAGAGTGGCTTGCCATGTGAGCTGCGCTCTTCCGAATGTTAGAAACTTGAAGGAGAAACTGTTATCCGAGCTGATTAAGCTATCAAAACTTACATGTTGCTTGATAGGAACAAAGGCACAGCAAGTCATACCCCCAAAAGGGCTTCTCAAGTTTTGAACCTTGAAACTTTTCGTAATCTAAAAATAATCAAATGTCAATATGATTCAATCATTCTCCCCAACCATGTCTACTTCAACGTAATAACAAAGTTCTCTACACGGAATCCCAATGAATATACTATGGCCACATGAGTGAACCCGTAAATGAAGACCTACATTTTGAAGTGGCAAACCATGCAACCTCGGCTCAAACAAAACGATTAAAGAGGAAGTTGGTCATTATCTTTACCGGTAAGTGTGCGACAGCCAACTTCTCCAAACATATTGCATCAAATACTATAATTCTTCTATCGCTATAAAGAACAACTAGGTACAAGCCATCCTCTGTGTAGTTAACTGTGATCACACGATCCGTGAATATATTCGAACTGTGTAAGACTACTTTAGTTTTCCTTCAACATAAAATTATGATATACAGAACAATTAAATTCTTCTAACCTCATATCGTAATGCTCTATTCTCCCTTCTGAAGTACCCAGCGTTATCACATGAGAATCATACGGGTTCCAGCACACTGCGGTACACTCTCCTCCATTCGTTGCGATGGATAGATTTCTGTTACCAGAGCTGCAAACAGAATATTTGCTTCATGGGAAATAGAAATGAAAACTACATAAAATCAAAAATGTCAGCTTGGTGCTTTTTTTTCGCTGCATAGGCTAAATAAGGCTTTCGCTTGTCTTTTGTATTCCAATGAATCGAGTTAAAAAGCTTACAATCAGAGACTTGGATGTTCTCAAGCATTATGCTATCTTCGAGTGAAAAGAGCTGAAAGAGAAAAACATTTCAAAAAAACAAATAAGCAGTTACTTTTATGCTTCCATCATTTGTTCCGACTAGATATGTTTCCAGCGATGGACCTAACTGCACATAGGCGGCACTTCGAACCTCAAAACTGACAGAACAGGTTAAGGAACAGAAACCGAAATACTTCATATAAATAGTTTTTTTGTCTCGCAAATGTTTGACTTTGCACATCCTTATGAACCTATTCTCTGAGCAGTACAATAAGCTAAGATTATAACTAATGTAGAAGAAAAGGAACCAAAGTTACTATTCATTACTGTCGTAATCGACATCTGCAGCTACAATATAACCTAGACTGTACGTTGAATTGTATATACTTTGATTGGGAAGGTTTTTCCATTGTTCCAGTTCATAACGGTTTTCAATTGAAGAGATGAAACCTCTGAAAAAATCTTCGTTTTCATTTTACAAGTACTATCGCAACCTGCTTGGATTCAATTCTCGATTTAAAACATGCAAGTGTTTAGAACGGTCAAGGAAACGTTGACCAGAGTACGACACACTTCCGGCCTCGTCCATAACATTTCAAAAAATCAAGAAAAAAATTTCTTCGCGAGCTGTAGACCATGAAATTTGAATAAATGAGGCTTGCTATATAATAATGACAGTTCTAATACAAAGATAGCTCCAAACATGAATCGTTGGAAAACCAAACAAGCGCTCTCACTACGAACGATTTCCCGTTTACTCACTTCTCGATTTCTCGCATCTTTGGAAAGTTTTATCAAGATAAATCGAACGATATGCAACAGTTATGCCCTCCTTATAGCACTTGTTTCACTATTAATTTTGATATCTTTCCAACTTCTTATCAGCCTGTTCTACAGCTTGGCAAGTTTGACAGAGAGAATATGGTCGAGAGCATTATATCGATTCTACTATTGTTCTTTTCAGTTTATTTATCATATAAGATAAGTTTTAATGAACGCAATATGACACAGAAGACTTCACACTCACATAAACCAATCAATGTTTGAGAAATGCCTGTGAGTCAGGAAAGAATAAACAAATTTACCATAAGCTATGGCGAATATCGTTTCATATTTGTATTTTTATTCAAACGGCTGTTGTTGTTCCAACGTAAACTTACGTATCACCTTCATCTCAAAATGAAATGATTAGAAAATATTATGTTATAAGCCTTTCTCCTTAAGAACTCTTTCTTTAGAGCTTCTCATCTTTCCAACGTTTGATTCGGACAAGTGTATTGTATTGTTATAGTGTGTTGCAAGTTCAAATCTTCATTCAATGAAGAGATTGTTTATTAGTGTCGTGTTACTCAATAAGGTTCTACTTAATTTCATTATCGATTAATTCAGATGTCAGCCGTAATAAATTCACGACCTAACAGTCAAGCAAGTAGTATCGGAGCTGATGTCAAGCCAGGTTTGAGCTTTCTGGTTTCCTTTTAGTTTTCTTTTCCAGTTCTCCTGCACAAAATCGATGGCCATATTGCCCGTGTGAATGATATATTTCTCCTGGAGAAGGAAGATGGAGTTTGGACGGTGAGTTAAATCTTTATTTTATTCTCTCACTAAAATCTTTATTTCTTTATCTTCAGGTCAGTGATGATCGCTCAATCAGGCTTTATTTGAAAAGAGATAACGGTCAGTTCTGGCCATCCATACACCATCAAATGCCTGTTGCGCCAACATGTTTGTACTATAGCGAGCAAACTAGGAGGTTAGTCATCAGTCATCATAACTCTCTATGAAAAAGCACTTATAATTTATGTGTTGAGTTGTTAAAGATAGATATTCAGATTCTTCGTTGGATTACTAAATGGACATGTTTATGAATATTTGGTTGCTGAAGATAATAACAGTATGACCGAACAGCGGCGATGGAGTGCGCATGCCGGTATTTCTCTACAGCTTTAACGAAACTAATTTATTATATTCAAGGACCTATTTCTGGTCTTTGTCTTGCTCTAGACTCTGAGCTCGTTTTTAGTTGCTCGAAAGATAAAACTCTTATCTGGCATTGCTCTGAAACAGGCACGAAGTCCGGAATATTCCAAGGAGATAGCAGTCTGACCTCTTTGGTTGTTGACTTGCCCTTCATTTTTGTTGGAGATCATGGAGGGAACGTGATTGTACTACGTTTGAATGGCACAACAGCTCAGTTGGTGAGCAAGCTAAGCGCCCACACAGGTGTGTTCGCCTTACAAAACGATTTTGTTCAGTGAAAGCTTTTAGCATCCGTTTCCTCCTTGGCCTGGGATCGAGTTAAGGAAGTGCTTTTTTCTGGAAGTTATGACAATCTTGTTATAATGTGGGATATTGGTGGAAAGCGAGGAGAAGCTTATGAACTTAAGTAGGCTTAATGCATGCTAGATATTATAAATACTATTTTTGCAGCTCCCATTCATCAAAAGTTACGCGATTATCCACTGCTGTTGGGGCTCATAGGCTTTTCTCAGCTGATGATGTCGGTCGATTGGTGTGCTGGGATATGAACGTTTCTAGGTATGTACCGTAAAAAAATTGACTTCATCTTGGATATAGGCTTGAAACGCCTGCTTGGGCTAGATCTGATCAATGCGAGATTTGTGATCAGCCATTCATCTGGAATATCACTAAAATGTGGCAAATAAAGGTTTATTCCCATAATATATCGGGTTTATACTATGAAGTTTAGGCTTTGGGAAACCGTCAACATCATTGTCGAACATGTGGAAAAGCCGTATGTGGTTCTTGCTGCGACAACTGGACAGTCTTTCCGAAAATGGGATATGAGCTGCCAGTTAGGATATGTAGCATATGCCATAAGAAGATGCAGGATAATCCTCAGCAATTTGAGTGAGTTTGGGAATCTCGAACAACGTTTTAAAGTAATAGTTCAGCTTGACTTCTTTGGCCGTATCACATGATCTTCGAACAGGAGTCACTGCCATGCATTTACAGGAGACGTTAGGGAAACTCGTCACCGTTGGCCAGAATCGAGTTGTGATGATTTGGGACGTGAAGCCACTCTTCAAAAATAATTAATATTAATGACATTCCTTATATGTAAATAGACTCGAATGTGATTTCCCTAACATGGTGCTCCGCCGCTGGTGATGGAATGAGTCCCATATTCTGTGTATGCAACATCCGGTTCATGTTCAACAGATTTCTATATGAATCCCAATATTCCCGAAATTAACTTATTTCAAAATTTTTTAAATAGTTTTTTATCAATTTATTAAATAAAAGAAAAATATGCAAATGATTGGATCCTAATCTATCGTTATTTACAACAAAAAAAATTGACTAGCACTTGAAGACCGGAATATTGAATTTGCTGATTCCTGAGTGTAAAAACCTAGATCTCAAACTAGATGAAGGACCCGTTATGCTTGAAGATTATCAAGAAACACCAATAATATGTTTCGCAGGGTGGAGCCTTATATAGACGTTTCGTTCCAGTCAACATCCACAGCCGTTTTGAGCTGAAGCATACGGGACGCTATCAGAAAGACAAATCGAATGAGATCGCATAGTTCCGTTTCTAATCCCTTCCCAACCTTCTTGGGTTCTCAAATGGCCTTCATTAATTTTTGTATGAACCTGAACACTTTTGATAACAAACAGCAGGAAAATATGATTCACCTCATTGGCCATCATCAGAAAAGCCTCCAATACATTTTCTCCAGTAATAGCAGAAGTTTCGATGTATTTCATTCTATGATACTTAGCGTAATATTCTCCCTCTTCGTAATCCACCTGCAGAATAAGATAAATATACTTCACGGGACTGAAGGGTCTAAACCTGGCGCTTGGCGCCACAATCAGATTTGTGACCAATTAATTGAAAAACACATTGCTCTGGATACGGACCTCCAACATTTGATTCAGCTTCTTGTAACCATGAGTTTATATGTTCAAAGCTGGCTCTATTGGTTATGTCGAAAACCAGCATAATCCCAACGGAATTGCGGTAATAGGACCTCGTGATTGATCTGAATTCGTGAAGGTTTATTTGATACAATTATTTGAAACAAACTTGAACTTCTCTTGTCCTGCTGTATCCCATAGTTGTAACTTCACCCGGTATCCGGGATTGAGTTCGACCATTCGAGCATAAAAATCAACGCCGACTGTTGGATCTGTTATCTCAGCCGGTCGGCCTTCAGTAAAATATTTTAGTAAACTGGATTTTCCAACAGTGGAATCTCCAATTAATATAAACCGATACTGATAATGAAAGAGCGGACCAAAGTCATCGCCAATGAAGTTAAACTCCATCTGAAAGAGAACAATATCGTCATGTTCACCCAAATCCTTCAAAACAATTCAAACAAAGCAATTCACATTTTACAAATAGAACAATAATTGATAAAGTTAATTGAAAATAGCAAGAATTAACCTATGAAGCTGCCATATGTTACATGACTACTTCTTGAAAAGCATGATCTTGAGGGCGGATCGGAAAAATTGGTGAATGAGTGTGCTGTAAAAGCATACTCCTCGGACATACCCCAGCTTTGACAATTTGCCAATAAATTCTGATGAAATGAGAACTGCAAAGAGTGGTTTTTACTTCTGGTTTTGAAAATTTAAAGCTTCATCGCAATCACTTTTTGAGATACTTTTGTGCTTCATATAATATCATATCTTTGAATGAGTTTTTTTTGGTTTTGTTTAAGGAATTGAACTTGATATCCTTTTTAGACATGAGTAATATAACTACGGGACATCGACTTCTTGTTGTGGGAGGATTATTATTAACTTATGGGCTAGCCTTATCAACTATTTATGCTAACTTTCCTGAATTATCCGAATCTGACAAAGAAGATTTCAAATATCCAAGAAATCTGGAGGATGCAAAGAAACTTGGCCGAGTTCTATCTCATTATAAGGATCTGCATGGCCTCACTGTTCTGTTCGGAGTTGTAACAGTATATGTGCTTCTGCAGTCTTTCGCTATTCCCGGGTCTATATTTTTGACAATTTTATCTGGATATTTATTTCCGTTCCCGATAGCTATCACTTTGGTTTGTAGCTGTTCTGCATTAGGAGCTGGTGTCTGCTACCTCTTATCTTTTCTACTTGGTCGCGATCTGGTGATTAGAAAGTTCCCTGAAAAAATAACTTCTTGGCAAAAAGAAGTTGATAAACAACGAGGAAATCTTCTTAGTTATATTGTCTTCTTACGTGTAACTCCATTATTACCCAATTGGTTCATTAACATTGCTAGCCCCGTAATAGATGTTCCATTCTGGACGTTCTTCTGGGGAACTTTCTTGGGAGTTGCTCCGCCATCTTTCCTGTATATCCAGGCCGGATCAACGTTGGAACAAATGACTCACACGAATGTCGCCTGGAGTTGGAACTCTATTCTTTTACTTAGTTTCTTCGCTATCATATCTTTGATTCCTGTCCTTTGGAACAATAGAAACAAAAGCAAGAAAGAATGATTAGGTTTTATGTGCTGTGATATTACTCGTATTTTATGTGGCTTTGTGATTTATTTCTGATCTCTCATCCACGTTTTAATCGTTGTTAAATCAAAGTAATAAAGAGTTTTATAGGAGTTATGGAAACATGGCAGCCTTGAGTAAAATTCGTCATAACCATTTCATCTATAGAGGCTTTCGTCTCTATTCTATAGGAGGAGCTTTTCCTGTTACAACCACGCACAACAAGAGAAGGTTCATCGCTCTCTTGATCTCGTAAAGTAAATATTCGTGTTTTCTAGAGATCGTCAGCTTCTGCAACGCCCTCATTCTTTGAATATTCAGAATGAAAGACAGTTTGTAGGAGTTGTTGGAGCCGCTGCTAGACATCTCTTGAAACTCCGTTACTTTCTTGCAACTGGAGTCATCGGAGGTAGTGTAGCAGCCAAAACAGTAAGTACACATCTATGGTATCTACCTATTCTGTCTATTGTAGTGGTACGAGGAATGGAAGACTAATCTTCCTGACTTCTCGTTACCAGAATGGGCAAAGTTTGATGACAATCCTGCTCTAAAGGAATTTTATTCAAGCATATCTGCCATGAAAAGCAAATTTGGTGAAGTAAATGGACAGAACAAGTTCTCTGACTGGTTGAAAAGTTTGGAGTTCGAGAAGAGAAGTCAAGGTAAATTCCATACTTGCTTCTTTCTCTATTAACCGAACTCAAATCTAATAGGTGACGGAGAACAGAGTGGAAGCAATGGTAATAATAATGAAGACAAGCCACCAATCAAAGGTTGTGAATGAATACACCAAGGGTTGAATATACTTATAATTGTAGAAAGTTTGTTACTAGCCTCGATGGCTTCCGCATTTGGTTATCAAAATAAGGATGAAGAGAAAACTCAGTCAGCTGAAGAAAGAATTCAGAAGCTTCAGGAAGAAATGATTCGTACTCAAGTAACACTTGAATTATTTCCATTTTATTCAAATTACGCGTTCAGAGTCAGTATCAGAGAGAACTGGAGAGACTTGAAAAAGAGAATAAGGTGTTAAAGCAGAAAATTCTACTGAAGGATAAGGGTGAAGTCGTCAGACTAAAACGCCTGAAGGTAAGAGGCTTTTTTTAATGTCGAACTCTGTAAGTTTTAGAGATCTCTGATTGATATGTATTCGGAGGTATTAGATTTACTGAATGAGTACGATTCTTCTTATAACACGGCGGATAATCTACCTCGCGTTGTTGTTGTCGGAGATCAAAGTGCAGGTCTCTTACTATTCTTTCCCGGCAAAAATCAACAACATTTATTTAAGGGAAAACATCGGTTTTGGAAATGATTGCTCAAGCAAGAATTTTCCCTCGTGGGTCCGGCGAAATGATGACCAGAGCACCAGTGAAGGTGAGTACTTCCATGGACTTATATAACATTTCTGGTTGATTCAGGTCACACTTTCTGAAGGTCCCTATCATGTCGCTCAGTTCCGTGATTCGACAAGGGAGTTCGATCTTACCAAAGAAGATGAGCTTAGCTCACTTCGTCAAGAAATTGAAGTTAGGATGAGAAATACAGTGAAGGGTGGCTCCACCGTATCTAACGAAGTTATTGCTCTTACTGTCAAAGGTGTAGAATTTTCAGTTATTCAAACTGAAACATTATTTTAAAGGACCTAATCTCCCAAGAATAGTATTGGTTGATCTTCCTGGCGTTATATCCACTGTAACAGCAGACATGGCTAAAGAAACTAAAAACGATATCATCAGAATGAGTAAATCTCACATGGAGAACCCAAATGCCATAATCCTCTGTATCCAGGATGGGTTCGTGCTGGTACAAGCATGCTTTACAATTTGTCTTTAAGGTCAGTAGACGCGGAGAGAAGTAACGTCACAGATTTGGTTAGCTCAATTGATCCTGCTGGAAAAAGAACTATTTTAGTTCTGACTAAAGTAAAATAAATCGTCCTCTCTATAAGATTGTTTTGTTTCAGGTAGACATGGCTGAAAAAAATCTTGCGAACCCCGACAGAATCAAGAAGATCTTAGAAGGAAAGTTGTTTCCTATGAAAGCATTAGGATATTTCGGTGTTGTTACTGGCCGCGGAAATACGTCAGAAACCATCGATGATATTAGAAAGTATGAGGAGCAGTTTTTCGAAACCAGCAAGCTTTTACGGTCAGTTGAGAAGTTTTTTCCTCAGTTATTGAAAATAACTCATACAGTGATGGTGTTTTGAAGCCTTCTCAAATGACAACAAAAAATATGTCTCTTGCTGTTTCTGACTGTTTCTGGAGAATGGTTAAAAACTCTATCGAAAGCCAGACTGATGCTTTCCGTGCTGCCCGGTTCAACTTAGAAACTGAATGGAAGAACACTTTTCCTCGAGTACGACAACTCGACAGAGACGAGTTATTCGATAAGGTTCCTACTTGTGTTGGATGTTTTAATTTACCCATGCTCCAGGCTCGTGGGGAACTCCTCGATGAAATAGTGAATTTGTCACTTGTTGGAGCTGAAGAATGGGAAGATGTTATCCGTAAAAAATTATGGGACTCTGTAGCCGGTCATGTCTACGACCAAATTCTCATGCCCGCTAGCTTCGTAGAGAGCGCCGGGTTCGTTATCATGTATTGTTCAGTTTATGCTCTTTGTTTTCAGTTCATTCAACACGCTTGTTGATATTCGTCTGAAGCATTGGGTTGAGAAAGAACTACCTCATAAAAGTGTTCAAACAGGATGGGGTGCTTTGCGAGATGTTTTCACTCGTCAAGTTACTGCTGATCATTCCAAAAGAGATCATGACTCTTTATTCGATGATCTGAAGACATTTGTTTTAGAGGAAGCCATGAGTACTCATGTTTGGGATGGTAAAGCGTTGGATTATTTGGTGGGTCATTTGCTCATTGCTATTCCCTTCATTTTTCTTTCTAGAGAGTTATTCAGTTAAACGCCATGGAAGACAAAGTAGTCCCTGATCGCAAGGCTTGGGAATCCGCCTGCAATTTCATGTTGAAGGTAGCAATTTCCTCTCTTTTTTATTAATTCAATCGAATGCAGACAGCACAAGCGCGGCTCGAACACATTGAAAAAAAGCTATCAGAAGCTCGTGGGCCCAGTTTGTTCTCAAAATGGGTTTACTGGATGACGCCATCTGCTGATAATCACTTTGCTTCTGCTGCTCAAGATGAAATCACCCAAATTTTCGAAACAGATCCAGAGCATAAGCAGGCTCTGACTGATGAAGACATTACGGTTATTCGAAGATCTCTAGAGTCCAAAGGTTTCATTGAAATGCCCGTTGACATCATTAGACAACAATGGAAGTTGATGTTTAAACGCCATTTCCTAAAAAGAATTATTCAAGTTTGCCTTATTTTTTTTTAACTTTGTGAACGATTTTTTTTAGAGCAGTCGGGATTGCCAAGGATTTTATCAGCATTATAAACAAGGCCTGCACGCCAATGAATTAGATTGCCAAGCCGTTATTCTGTTCTACAGGTGCGTTGAAATTCGAGAATTTAATAATCTTTTAAGTTCAGAATTGAGAAAATGTTGTTTTTGACATGTAATGCATTGAGACAACAAATAACATCAACTGAACAGAGAAGGTTGGAAAAAGAAATTAAAGAAGTTCTTGATGATTGGAGCCAGGATGCTCCCGTGAAGAAAAAACTTCTGAAAGGAAGACGAGTAGACTTAGCTGAAGAATTGAGTGAGTTGTTTCGTCGGCACCTCCGCCCAAAAAATCATAATCCGAAATTGATGCCAATGAGCACTGCGAAGAAGCTTAATATGTTTTCTAATGTTAAAATTTCAGAACAAGTGCGAAGAATACAGGAAAAGCTCGAAGAGTTCATGATTCAGCTCCAACGGGACAAATAAATTATAGATTTCGTAGATTTGCTTCTAGTCTGTTATCATAGCTTGTTGTAAATAGGTTTCCGTTCTTAAAATGTAATCAAGTCTGTTTTTATTTCGAAAGAGCGGAAAATGCATTCTTTATATGTACGTACGCGTGGAGCATCTGATGAAGCAATGTATCGTTAGACAACTTGCGTTCCAACTCAAAATAGTTCTTGGAGAGCGGCTTTATTATAAATACATTGTAATTAAATTAGCATGAGAGAAATATAATAGATGAACGAACACAACTCACGAAGATCTGATTGATTAGACCACAACGACTTGGTTGAATTAGAATTGTATATCACAGAACTTGAAAATGTACACATTTAATACAAGAAGTCGCAAACATGTATATGTTTTCATGGTCTCAGTTGCGACGTCTGAGACCTTCGGTTACTTCTGGAACGAACCCATAAGGAGGAGGACCAGTCGATTGCCCAGCAACTCTTAGCTCTTGTGTAGGTAATGGTGGATGCTCCGCACCTATGCCTATAATTCAGGTTTTAACCTTTAGCGGTTGTGGTAGCTACATACCTGGATAAGGTGGTGGTGCCTCATGTACAAAGACATTTTCTGGGTTTGGTCTCTCTGGTAGTGATCCCGGTGCTTGGAAGTTTGCTAATAAAAAGTGCTTTCACTAATGGAAGGCTTCTTAATACATACTGTTGCTAGTAGTATAATAATCTGGTGGTGCAGCGTAGTAATCTCCGGCAGGTGGGACGTAAGATGGAGGAGCATTGCATGGTCTACTGCTGAAATTCAAGCGGGTCCAATAGGGAAAATATGGATGCGAAAACTTACTGACTGGCTCTATCTACAGCTGCCAGAAGAGAATGACCGAAATCAATACAGCCACCTTTGTTAAAAACCAGCTCCCAAGGAACCTCACATCTCAGATTTGAGCCAGGCGTTGGAGAGGCGATGCCACATAAATAATTGGCTCCTATGAAAAACTTATATGATTTGAAACATTCACAGTTCTGTTACCGAAAATTGGTTGCTGAAGCTGTACATTTCTCATACAACTAAACGGCATATCAAATGACTTCAACCAATGCTTTGAAATATCGGGCATGAAAATGATACGATGGGAGGTAAGATAAACGGTTCCCGATCTCTTTCCTTTCAAATCCTGGAAATGAATGATCAGAAAAATTGCAGAAATATTAGAACTCACCACATTCTCACTTTTTCCAAAAGTCATGTTTACACCTTGACAGAAAATAATGATAACTTCTCCGTTGAAAATGAGAACCCCTCTGCCATCTGGGGTGTTAGCGGTGTTGACGGACATCTAAATATTGATATTATGACGTAGGACGAGGAAAGTGAGATTAAAAGTTAACGAATGAATATATAGATTGAACTAATCAATATACGTTATATATAAAGAATCGATAGACCATTCTTTCGAAATAAAAACAGACTTGATTACATTTTAAGAACGGAAACCCCTTTACAACAAGCTATAATAACAGACTAGAAGCAAATCTACGAAATCTATAATTTATTTGTCCAGTTGGAGCTGAATCACGAACTCTCCGAGCTTTTCTTGTATTTTTCAGAAATGCTCTGAAATTTTAACATTGGAACATACATAACACAATCAAGGTTTGCAAGCAAAAGGTTTATATGATGCATGACGCGGCTCTACGCAACCACACGTGATGTGAACATTGTCATTTTGATATGTGAGAGACACAAATGGTTGTAGGCGCTTACTGAAATCAATTTCGGATTATGATGTTGTATTTTAGGCAGAGACGCCGACGAAAACATTCGCTCAATTCTTCTAACTCTACTCGTCTTCCTTCTGGAAATTCTCTCTCTACAAACTTCTAAGATCTAGTGCGGTTGTAACCAATTTCCAAAACAAAACGAAACAAATTGAACACATAGAATATATATAAAGCACCTATGCTTGATTGTGCTAATTTTTTTTCAAATATAGCTTTCATCCTGAGAAAATAACTATCAAAAGATTTTGAACTCAATCTGCATTGATACTCAATAAAAAAATTCAGAAAATACGCAATTTATCGTATATGATGTACTTCTTTCCACCGTGTGGTGAATTTCGTAATGATTATTTTTTTTGCTCTGTATTGACCACTATATCTTACTTTGCTTTTCAGTAGCTTTAAGTTTTTTTTAGATGGCTTCGAACCTAACCGTTAACGTTCATCCTGTCGTTTATATGACAATCGTGGACTCTTACCTACGTAGGTCTCGTCCAATCAAAGCAGGCCAACAGGCCAATGATAAAGCCTTAGGCACTTTAATGGGTTTCTATGAGAAGGGAGCAATTCAGGTAATTCTTATTATTACTACTTATCAACCGGCTTGTATTTGAGGTCACCAATTGCTTTGCCATTCCTTTCAATGAGTCTCGGGATGATTTAGAATTGGATGATCAATTCAATCAGCAAATGATCCAAATGTTGAAGAGAGCATCTCCAACCGAGCAACCCGTGGGATGGTTTTATACCTCTTCTGATCTTTCTGCGAATTGTCTTGTCTATCACGATTATTATAATAGAGTTATCATGGAGGTCTCAGCTAAGAAAGAATTGCCTCCTCTTGTGCTCCTAACTCTCGATACAACTTTCTCTGCTGAAGGAGATGATAAGTACAGAATGCCTGTCCGGGCTTATCTCAGGTATAAATGTGTAAGGTGGCATACATACGTTTTTTCAGATCTAAGGCCGGTATTCCTGGAAGTCCTGATCCTCACTGCGCAATTTTCAACCCACTTCGTGTGGAGCTCGATGCTTTCCCAGGAGAGTGTGTGGCCATGCAGCTGATCCAGGTAAGACTTGAAATATTTGTTCCTAATGAAACTGATTGTTCAGAACGCTCTGGATTCTCGTAGAAGAGAAGCCACTATGGAAAATGGTTTAGAACAGTTAGAAAGAAGTACCGGACAAATAATAGAATGGCTGGAGAAGCTTCTTGAGTACTATCAACAGTTTACGTATTGGGAGTAAACAATTTGTTGCAGATACGTCAATGAAGTTCTTAACCGTGATGAACTACCTGCTGATGCTACCATGGGTAGACAATTGATGGATATCGTTAACACTGCTGCGTTCAATATGCAACCAGAAAAGCTAGACAGCTTAGTCAAGAATAGCTTAAGAGTGAGTTTTTCTTCTTTATATATTTTATTAAAATTGAAATAGCTAAATTCATATTATTGAACTATGTAATTGCAGGATTATATGATGGTTGCTTATCTTGCTAACTTGACAAAAACACAGCTCAATGTGCATGAGCGAATGGTTAATCTTTAAATTTCGTAAAATCTTCCGGATTTCTTGTTTTCTTTTATGGTGTTTTGTTTCCCAATTTCTGTTACTTCGATGGATTCAGATAAATTGTTGACGATTTCCTTGTTATTTTCTTTAATATTCTGTTGGTGTTCTCGCTATTTCATGCTTCATTAGGCTTCTGAAAATAAAACTTATTTCTCTTCAAGTATTAGATGGTTAAAAAGGTCACCTTGCGCGATCGAGTCGCTCAGGCCTATCATGATTATGGAAGGTATTAAATACATATTAATCTCCATACGTTGGTGTTTTTAGAGTATGCTCAGCTCATCCTATAGCATGCTTGATTGTATCCATCTTGACCATGTTTGTTCTATCGTATCCAGCTTTTGTCAGATTTCGTCTACCAGTGTCTAGTCCTATCGATGTACACTGGAGCAGTGAACCTTCGTTGCAGAACTGTAAAAAAAATTTCCTTCTATCAATCGTGATTGATTTCTAGCTGAATCAGCTCCTGAATGGCTGCATGCTCCGCCTGCTGCTTTTTTGCAACAAATCATAGTTAGAGGTTCAGTTGAACCTTGGAACTCCATGAATTTAACTGCCGAGCAGGTTTGTACAGTATCATTCCGATCCTGAACTACTTTTAAGGCAGTAAGAGGACCCCTGTCTCGATCTTTTCTCATACGAGATTTATTGCAAAGCAATCCTGCAATAGATTCCTCTTGCTTTCATATCTCCAGACCAGAAGGAAATTCTTACTTGCCTCATAAGGGATGCCTTATACTCTCACCTACACTTTTTTGGGAGAGCTTCGCACAATTTAAATTAGAAAAAGATGTGCTTCATACAATTTTCGCTCCAACATGTACTCCTTCTATGTGTGTACGAGATATCTTACTAGGAATGCCTACAGGTCTTACCGGGATCAAACCCACTTTTCAAACAAATCGTAAAAGATGTGCGTGATTACTTCTGTCTTCAAAGTTACGAGTTATTTTAAGCAATTGATTATTCGGTCACTCTTTTCTTAGCAGAATACAAAGCAAGTACTCGAACAGCTTTAAAAACGGAGCTAAATAGTGAGTTGTTTACTTTTATGACTAAGAATTTACGTGAACTTTACGTGAGGTGATCTGATCAATTCACGTGCTCCGGCGTCGATTATCGGCTGCTTTCAGTTTTTTCGTTTACTTTCTGTCTCGTATTACAATTCGATTTTTTTAGAAACCAATCTTTTTACTCTGGAAGTTTCTAGAGAGAGTGATGAAGACACCTTCGTTCATGTATTCTATCGGCCACGGAAATACTTTGTGGATTACTTCCCGATTACAATGACCTATTTCATTTTCATGGTAAATTTGATCCGAGATGTTTTTTCTTAACTTTTTTTCTTCCAGATTTATTTGTATTATTCAGCCAGTAAGTTTGAGATGGTAACATCTAAATGGGGATTGGCACTTGCTGCTGGTTTTCACGTAGCCGCTACTCTGCTTATGACCACTGGTCTGTTTTCATTGTGGTACTGTCATAAGTGTTAGATTAAGGAATATGTGCTCATGTAGATATGATGCCTACACTCTGGGGTGCTGAAATATTTCCTTATATAGCTTTCATCCTATGTCTTGAGAATACACTATGCATAACTCGATCCGTAGTAAGCACACCTCCATCTTTGGATGTCTCGTCTAGAGTTGCATATGGTTTGTCACAAGAAGGGTAGGTACAATCTGAAAATCCTTAACTTACCATTAACATTTGAGATATTCTTTGTGCAAGTATTTCGTCCTGGAACTCATCTTTCTTGCTGTTGGATATAGTACCCGAATGGCCGAAATTCAAGAGTTCTGTTTTTATGCTGCTATTGGTTTAGTTATTGATTTTTATATGCAGGTTTGGAAAAATTTTAAGTTTAACATTGATTTGAGAGATTTCAGCTATTCTTTTATGCACCGTGTCTAACGTTCGATCTTCAACGTCTTAATAAACAGGACAAAGAACGCTTCTCGTTGATGCTTTTCAGCAGTGATGTCCCACTCCTGAAGACTTACCCTGTAGTAAGGTAAATGAAAATTTCATTATCAGGATGAGTATGATCTTTCAGTTGTCCCTTCCGTCGTATTTGGCCTCGCCTGTTTGAAATGAAACGTTTGAGGAAAAGAACCTTTTCTGATTCTCAATTAGATGAACCTATAATAACGAATGAGAGAAAGTTTCGAGGTGAGATCAGTTTCTATTATATTTTTGTCTATAGCTCTCATGCTTGTAGGTTTTCGCCGATCTAACTCTGTCAGTAAAACCATCGAGTCCTCTCAAGACGGTGTAGACCTAATTTCTAAAGGAGCTACTAGTCTCCGTTTGCGTTTCATTTCATTTGTTACACGCACAAGAATCATGCAAGTAAGGGAAACGATGTCCTTGTTCAACCAGGTTTTTTTTCTTTTCAGCGTTCTTTGATGATAGCTTTTGTCATTTGGACTGCATGGTTAGCATTTGTAGTTCATTCGAATAGGAGCTCAGGAAGTTTGCTGATGGTTTCACGCAAGCAACTCATGTGAATTTTTACAGAAATAGGAATATCGAACAGAGTCCTAGAAACTGCGCCGCAGGCATGGGGTGAATGGCAGCGGAGAACTTTCAAATGGTTGAATCTGCGAATTTTTCTTTTAATCATACTTCCGCAGGTGGCCAACCATGTTTAACGAATATAATATCAGTTTGTCTGGGCACTATATCACTTTCTTGCCTCCCATTGTGCTAAGCACTAAGGTTGTTCTTCCTCTCGAAGTTAACTATTGAAACTGTTTAGATTAATCCAAATGAGGACGTTCTACGTTATAACGAGGAGATAATATTAGATCGATCCCAGCCCTCAATGGAATCACGCTTCTCAACTAAAGAGCCGCCCAGTAATCTTCAGTATGGTCGTTGTTGAGTTTTAATTCTCAGAACTTTTCTCACAGATCTCAGATATATTGGTTAGAAACACAATTGAAGGTGTATATGGCATCTTTCTTCATACTTTTGGTCCTTTCTGTTACCAGTTTTGTTTTATATGCTTGTGTTTGGAGTAAATGGAGGGATGTATGGTTCAAACCAATTTCAGAACAGAACAACAAAACTGATACTTCGAAGAACAGCCTCAGAGATTATGTTCGTACTTAATTCAAACAAGTTCAATCGATGTTCTTCTTAGATTCATGCTCATTTCCAAGGTCATCGATTTCCGATTGAGTGTGTACAAGTTATTCCTAACAAGCTTATTTTGTCCTCTTGCCAAGAAGGGAATTTGTGTCTATGGAATTCGGAAACAGGTGCTGTTATTTTTGATCATAGTCACTTATTGATAACAGGCGAAAGAGTTCTCAAAATGAATCGACTTCGAATCCCAACAAATCCTTCTGACCCACCTCCACCAATCCCACCTAGGATTTGGAGTATTGCTACAATAAGGTATGAGAAGATTCTAACTGCCTAATAAACAAATATTAAGTGAAAATGTGGTAGCTCTGGGTTGTGCAGATGGTTCAATAGAGATAGCTTGTTTATCACGGAACAAATTGATAGGTGTTTATCTGAAATCTCTAATGGGGGTTAGCCAAATAGAGGTTAGGCTTGTTTCGAAAACATACCAGGAAAACATTTTTAGGCTCATAACAATGAAATAATTGCTGCCCGTATTGATGGAACGATTGATTTCATTAATCTTAAGCTAACAGGGGAAAAACCAATTCGAGTGTCTTCTATCGCTTTGAGAAATACTGAGAAAATGCACAAGACCCCTATACGAAAAATGTGTCTTCACAAAGATTTACTCATAACAACCGGTACAGATCCTACTATTAAGGTAAGTAGCGAAAAAGAAATACAACCGTCCTTCATTTTTGAGAGCGTGAAAATGAACTTTTACGTACACGACGTGAAAAAATATTCTTAAGGTGTATCATACCGCATCCTCCTCAATAAAATTCATACTCAATGCTCATCACAGCACTGTATGCTCATTGGAGATTGATACTGATTTGAACGTAATGTTTTGTATTGTTTCTTCTACATCCCCATTCCGTCACAGATCTTATACTCAGCATGTGAAGAAGGAATAGTTTGTTGGTGGAATCTTTCTACTGGTTTGCTTATCAAATCCGCCGATTCTAATTGTCGAGGTAAAAATTTGTTGTCGAACTGTTAAAGTGCAGTTCCAGATTCCATACTGCTATCTGTGGCTCAGAGCTGCCTTTTGGGGTTCAGCACCGATGGGGTCATTCGTATGTGGTCAAAAGAAAATGGACAGTTAATGAATAAACTGAGATCTTTCAACGTAAACTTTAACTACATACCACAAAGAGTTATTATCTCTAGGCTTTGACAATTGATAGCCTTGGATTAGCAGCCGTGAATGAACGATTGGCTGTTACCTTCAATAGAATGACAATATCATTCTGGGATATAAGCGAGAGGATTTTGATCACTCAGGTTTTCCACAATTCTCCTAAAGCAAATAATATTCTATAGGTTAATATCAATGAGAGGATCCAGTCACTCTATCGTTTCGACGATTCGTCTGTACTATGCCAATGTGGAACATCTTTTTATAGAATAGTTTTACCCGAGATAAGACTTGATTAGCTTTTTTCCGTTTTTTGTACATTTTACCTTAATCGGGGAGATTAGCTCGCCCTAGTCGTGTAACGAAGTATTAATAAGTCAGGTTTTCATATCATACTCTTGTCATTCAATGCCATATCCTTGCCAGAATTGTTGTGATAATTGAAAGATTTCTATTGTTTTCAACGTTTTTTATCATCAAATTACTTTTTCCTTTCTTTCATGTGGTCGTTACACCATTAGCTTACCTTTTCGTTTAATTTCTCGTTTTTTTTTGGAAATAACTGGTTATAGCGGGGGCACGCTTCCCAACAGATGCATGTTATTTCTAATTTTCTTGGTTTTAGTTTGCAAAATGTTCGGAGCTGATAAACAGAGTTATTCATTCGCTGATTTTCTCGTGCAGCACAAATCTCAGTTAGAAGCTGGAGGAATTCCGCCTGAGCAGTGGGGTGCATTGCATCAAAAATTGAAAGAAGAAGTTTGTTTTTTTTACGTAAAGCAATAATAATTAGCTGAATTAATCTATTATGATGTTAAAAGCAAAAATATAGGTCTTCGATGCTGGTCAATTTTTCGAAATTGTTTGTGAGCAACAAGAGGATGCAACGCGCGCTTGGTCTGTTATTGCCTTGCAGGATATGGACCCTGTAGATGACGACTGGTTGTTCAAATTTACCGTTAATGCTAACAACGTCATTATAGCGTTTTCCTTATTGATCATGCTTGGACATTTAAACCTCATGAAGCCCGTAGGCAACTAGAAGCTATGCCTGAATTAGTAGAGAGAATGCGAAATATACTAGATTTAAACGTGAAGTGTTCTTTTTTGAAAATAACTTGAACTCGCTGTTTATAGGAAGAAGAAGAAGAAAATAACGATGAGGGAAGTGATGATGAAGTAACGTCTGAGAAAGCCGAACTTGACAAGTTAGAACAAGCAAAAGAGAATGCAAAAGCTGCAGGAGGTGAGTTGCAACAGCCACAGTATATGTACGTCCTCTTACAGTGAATATTCCGCGCCATGAGTCAGTCGATGCCAGGCTTTGCTACACCGTAAAAACGAACACTCCAGTAATTGATAAAATTCTGAAGAAAATATGGGAATATGCGAACACTTACACGATCAGATTCAAAGCGGTGTGTTGTTACTAAACAGGTTTCCTCAACTTGATTATTAAGAACATTGATGAAGACAGCTTGCCTCAATGGTATGTTATGGATGAATTCGGATCAAGAATTGGACACTCAGATGAGCCGAACGTTAGGTTGGTCAGTTTGAAAAGCATTCTCTTAACGTATCTTCAGAGTTGTTCCTCTTTTCTACGCTCCCCAGCGCTTGGCCTACAATATTCTTTTTTTCACCAAATCTGTGAATGCAAACGGTTACAATCATTTTTTGTTTTATTTGTTCAATTTTAATTGTGTAGAAGTTGTCAGTCGCGATTATTGTGACAGTAATCTTTCAAAAAAAAACCCTGACTGGAGGAACATGTTGTATTTGCCTTGGGACTCAACTTACATAGCTCCATCAGTTTCTAAACGAACGGAATTAGATACAGATTTCTTCTCTGTAAGTGATCAAGTTTTATGATTCCTATCCAATAATTCAGTCCGGTAGAAATCCTGATAAGTTGCCGAGTTCGGAAGAGCAGGCACTCACAAAAGGTGCTCGAACTCTTGGAGATTCTGTTAAGATCTATGCTGAAGATGATCAGCTTATACGAAATTTGAAAGAAACCAAGTATGAATTGGTTGATGACTGGCGGAAAGCCGATGTAATTTGGATGTTTAAGCATTTCCATGATTTTGAGTGAGCTTTATGTGAATTTAATTTTGTCAATATTTTTTTTCAGCGTTCTATGTCAAGAAAACCCGCGAGGTTTGATCAACCAATTTCCCTATGAAAGCTGCCTTACCGTGAAGGATTTGATGTCCGCAATCGTTATGCAGATGAACAACGGAAGTGGTCCAGCTTGGTTCCAACCTTCGTATAACTTGAACAATGAACTTCCAGCATTCGTTAACTTATTCCAGGAGAGAGAAAAAAAGTTTGTTTTCTTTTCTTTATTGATATCATTTGAAAACTACTCTCTTTCACTTTCAGCAATCAAAGCAACACTTGGATCATTAAGCCATGGAACTTGGCCAGAGCTATGGATATGCATGTCACCGACAATTTAAGTCAAATCATTCGTTTAATTGAATCTGGTCCTAAGGTGATTAACTTCTCCCATTTATGTATCTCAAGCATCTGATTAGCTGGCTTGTAAGTACATCGAGCGTCCTGTGCTTTTCCGCCGACCTGATAATGGAAACAATGTTAAATTTGACCTACGTTACATCATTTTCGTCAAAGATTTGGAGAAAATTGATGCTTACATATACCGCAATTTTTGGATCCGATTTTCTATCAAGTAACTCTTTTTTTCAAATGTTCATTTATTCTAACTTCTATAGTGAATTCAATCTCGACCAGCTCGATGACACCGAGACTCATTTCACAGTTTTTAACTACGTTGGAGATGGAAACAAGATACTACAGGTACTAGCTCTTTTTTTGCATTGAAAGTGTTGTATGTTTCTAGATGAGATGTGAAGATTTCATAAAACAGTTCTCCGAGTTGTATCCCAATCTTCAATGGGAAGATATCCAAAATAAGATAAATTCAAGTATTCGCGAACTTCTTGAGACTGTAACATCGTAAGAAAAGTTTAGTTAGCCTCTCTATTTTATCGAATTCAGAAGAAAACCACCTGTTGGAGTTGCTCCTAATGCTCAATCTAGAGCTATGTTTGGAATAGATGTGATGCTACAATGGAAAGGAGAAGGTTTTAATTTTTGTTGTTAATCATCCAAGCTTTATATTTTCAGGAAACCTAGATATACAACCCACTATTCTAGAATGCAACTTCATGCCTGATTGCTCGAGAGCTTGCAATTATTATCCTGATTTTGCTGATACAATGTTGAATACGTTGTTTTTGAATCATAACGATGACGAAAAAATTTCTGCTCTCTGAAATTGATTTCCAAAGTTATTGTTTCTGGTTTTGTTGTTATTAATTTGTTTCATTATGAAAAGATGTTTTATAAATCAAAAACTGATAATGTTGATTGAGGTTTTCATTGGAAACAACTTATGATTATCCAGCTACGGTTCAGTTGATAAATATGAGCAATCTCCGTTCTTATAGTTTGAAATTGTAGTTCGACCAGCTCAAGTGTTAGAAATTTCTCGAATTTTAATGAGTTTCAATAATTTTTTTTTTAATTTAATAATATTTCAAGTTTTATAAGATTGCAAAAAAAGAGAAGAGGATTGAGATGAAGTTATCAGAAAAAAGGAGAAGCACGAGAGAAATCGTGCAAGATGTAGGAAGATGGCCCTTCTGCTTTCACCTGAAATTAAAATTAGAGCAATGTTTTTACGTGTAAGGGGGACGTTCGGTGGCTCAAAACCTCACCACTGGTGAGCAGTGAACCCCCTAGCCATGAACCCCAAACATGGCATCCTATCCGA